AATATTAAATAAGATGTGTACAATAAATTCATTTTAAGTGTTTTTAGTTGATTAAAAAAATGTAAAACTTCAAATAAAGGGTTGGTATGGGGCCCCAAATTTTACAGGCCCAGCTAGCTTCGACTACAGCTGTTAGATAGAGGAAAAAGTGTTGAAGGAGAGACATAGAGAGAGTTGGGCTGGAACCGTAGTTTTGGTCGAGTTAAGGAAGCAAGAGAGAACTTGAGCTTCTTCAAGGTATTCAAGAGTGCAGATTTATCCTCTGAATCCATGGTAACTCTCTTCTTGTACTTAGTTTTTTGGGTTTCTTGATAACTCTGTTTCACAAGCAAGAGTCTTTCTTTTGTGTTGAGTTTGTTTCAAGTTAAAGATTCAGTCTTGTGGGTGTCTTTCGAACTGTTGGATCTCTCAAGTTAAAGATTACGTTGCTACGTCTTCTCTGTCTGTATCTTTGTGCTCAGATGTTTTCTCTCGATTTCTTGTTCTGATTCTGATAACCCCAGCTTGATGATTAGAGGTGAAAGGTTTAAACTTTAGCCTTCTTTGATGCAATTTAACAAGATATGTTAATTGTTCTAACATTTTTTTGATTGCATGTTGAAACTAGAGAGCGCTTCCTTACGAGTTCATGAAGAATGTCTCAAGGAAAGACTTCCCCAAAAAGGTGGTGATAAGAGCACAATGGGGAAGCTCATGGGAAGTAGACATCTCCAAGAACCCGAGGTTCTACTACATGGAGAAGTCTGGATGAAACCAGTTTGTGAGCGACAATGCTTTGGGAGCAAACGAGTTGGTGACCTTCACTCAAAAGGGACTAATGTGCTTAAATGCCACACCTCAGCAAACCCCACACAATGACTCCATTTAGTAAGATTTCATTTAACTATTGTATGAAATAGATTAGCCATCTGGATGGAGATGAGAGTTTTGTTCATTTAGATATTAAAAGTACAAATCTTCTCGATGGGTCATCTGAATGACCTTTGGACCATCTGGATGGAGATGGTTTTATCAAAATGGCATAATATTCTATATACCCCTTATATAATTCACAAATTACAAATCAAAACCTAATATCATTTTGTAACACATGAAAAAAAATGAGAAAATTGCATTTTCTCACACAAACCGAAAAACATATTTTTTCCCGTACAAACGTGTTTTCCCGCCAAAATCAAAACATGTTTTCCCGCTAAAATTGAAAACACGTTTTTTCCGCCGAAATCGAAAAACATGTTTTCCCGCCAAAACCGAAAAAGTGTTGCCAAAACTGAAAAATGCGTTTTCCGCCAAAAACGAAAACACGTTTTCCCACCAAAACAAAAAATGTGATTTTACCGCCAAAATCGTAAATACGGGTTTTCTAGCCAAAACCAAAAACACGTTTTTCCAGCGGTAACAACGCGTTTTCTAAACCCTAAGTTTGTATTTATATATATATATATATATATTGTAGTCTATGGAATATGAATAAGAATCTCACAGGAATTCCTAGACAAGTACATCAAAAGTGAGTCTAAGGTATACAAGATACATCACTGGGAAAGAAAGGGTTCATGGAAGGTGCTTTGCTTGGTGAAGAAGTCTCATGAGGCAATCTTCTCAAGGGGATGGAGTAAACTCGCACGAGAGTACCCATTATCATTTGGTGACAGGTGTACCTTCAAAATCGTCAAACCCACTGAGTTTGTTCTCACCACCTAGTTATGAGTAGGGACTATATATGTGCGAGGGCGGGGATTCAGAGATGTCTGGACTATCGACGCAAATTTTGAGGGCGGGGGCTCAGAGACATCTGGACTAGCGACGCAACTGTGTGGGGCGTGGTGCAGAGACGTTTTCATTCGACGCAGCTTTTGAGGGCGGGGGTACAGAGACAGACTGTACTAGCGACGCAGCATATGATGTATATCCATCCATAAATGGAGATGCGGGGTGTGTGGTCTAGCTATGCACTATCAGCGCATTGGTTGTTCTATGTGATGTCTTAGGTGTCTTGTTTGTTCATGTTAGAGCTAAACTTCCATAGTTGGAGTTCTATTTACTCAAGTCAGTGTTTTGCGTGTTTAGCATCTCATACCTCACTGAATGACTCTCCTGTTACTCACCCCTCTTTCTTCCCCCCCCTTTCAGGTGAGACTGACGATCAGGAGTGATCATTTCAGACTAGTGCTTTTGAGAGTTTTATTTATTTATTTTCAGACTTATGCTTTTATCGATATTTTTGAGATTTATTATGTAATTTGGATTTATGGAGTTTGGAAATGATTTATGCGATTTAATAAATGGAGATTTCAGACATTTTTTATTTATTTTATTATTATGGAAAATGTGGGTGTTACAATTTGGTATCAGAGCGGGTTCTGTCCCGGCTCCGACCCGGGATGGCGATCTGTGAGGACTCGGTTTTTATCGGTTTTTATCTTATTTTTAATGATTTCTAAAGTGATTTTTGGGGACTTGGTAACTTTTAAAATAAAGACAACTAGCAACTCTCCGTTTAGTAACTTATAACCTAATTGTCTTTTATGACGATGAGTAAAGTCATTGTCATCCGTTCTCTAATTTACAGGGTTCCAGCCGGATGATCAACAGATTGATGATTTCACCGCTTGTCAGATTGCCGAGGTTCCTATCAGTTTTGTCAGTCGAGTTCAGAGTCTAAACGTTAGTGGATATGTGACGTTTATGCCGCCACCCAGACTTAAAGCCATCACTCCATTAGTTTTGTCACTTGAGATTATGTGATGTGAGGTTTGAGCCATTGGTTGGCATGTGTTATTTTGTGTACGAGTATATGGACTATTTTGGATGAATGCTTACTTTGAGGACTCGTGGGGATCGCTTTTAGATTGGGGGTGAGCCAGCTTATGTTGTGTTGATAATGTGGGTACATTTGGTACGTTGCATATTCTGGCTGTGTTCATTGTTTCATAGATGTGTCAGTTCGGATAGCTGGCACAAGTATGTTAGAATCTATTTTTATTCAGAGAGTTCTGCTAATTATGCTTGTAGGGGTCAATTTGTTCGGAAACTTGTCAAAGATAGAGCTGCGTTTTCACAATGTCATTCTTGGGATGGATTGGTTGCCATGACATCGAGCAGTGTTGATTTAATTAAGGGAAGTAGTTCATATTCCTGGTGTAGAGAGGAGTTTCTTTTCCCCCGATTTAGCATGTTGAGGAGTCACTGGAAAAAGGAGCAGATAATTTTTTAGCGACCAGTTTGATGGTTAAAGATGATTGACAACATGAGCTGCAAGATCTTCCAGTTATGGTTTCGTCTGTTTATGAAGTTACTTTAACTTGCTTTATCTGTTTATGAGTTTAGGCTCAATGATCAAAGTAGATAGTGAAAACCACTGATATGGAGTGCATCTTGCATTTTCACAGTCGCAATCGACTCTGTTACACAACAACTCTGTCTTGTGAACCATTTGTGTAATGATCCTTCTTTGATCAGTACATCCTACGAAATTTCAGGAAGAGCATAGAGAAGAGAAACAAACGGCATCTCCTTAGTTCGTCCATCTGAACACATAATCATAAATCAAAAGCATAAGTCCTAAGTGAATTAAGTGAATTAAGAGAATCCCAACCGGGGCTTCTAGCTCTAGTGGTAAAGGGCTTACAGCTGTGAGTACCGCCACCTGGGTTCGAATCCCGGCCACTGGGGAATTAACATTTCGGCATCGCCAGGGACATAGGACCGACACGTGGCAACACGTGGCTAGTCTGGACCACTTATGTGGGGCCAGGATACCTCTGTATAATTCAAAAAAAAAAAAAAAATTAAGAGAATCCCCAAGAAGATTCGACAATGGGAAATCTTCAAACTTTGTCTCTGTTTTCTTGTTCTGTTCTAATGCTCTAAGTCTTAATCATGTCTCTGTTTTTGCTCTGTTTTTTTGTTCTGGATTGGGTCCTAACGCTGCAGCTTGGAGACCTCAGATTCTAAGGCCAAATCATCAGCAGCGAGTACAGAACAGTAAGCGAGCAAAAGAAAGGAGCCATATAAACCTAATCAATAAGATGAAAATCTCATCTCAGCGAAAACAATACCATATGAAGCTGTCTTCGGCTCCAACCCAAGGCCCAGAAGAGAGCTGAGCAGAGACTCTATCCACAAAACCCTCACCCATGGAACACTCCTCAGCGGAATCCTCAATTGAACTAAGGAGATGCAATTTACCAGATTTCTCCACTGTTGGTGAATCCAAATGTCTCAGGAACTTGTTTCTTTTCTGTAGAACTATTGGTATATATAGGCTTCACATTGTAAATTGGTTTAGTTGATTGTAATTATTTTACCCGGTTGGCACATTAGATCAAGTGTATATACACACAACATTGTTACACTTTAAGGCTAACAGAAAAGTATGATTCATTTTGGCTTCTTCCTCTCTCTCTCATGAACGTCTTCTTCTTCTTCATGTTTACGTGAGAAAGAATCCATAATTTCTGTTCATCAGATTACTAAAATGAACCACTTTGTCCTGCAAAACCAGAGAAGCTTGTCTTCCTATGACAGCCTCTACCTCCTTCGAGCTCTTAGTCCCGCCTTACCACATACTATAACATTCCCAATCTTGTCCCCTGCAGCATTATCTTAACACGCTTGCAAGGTAAGAACTTGACAACCAAGGCACAACACGTGTCAATTATCTTTTAACACCCTTGCAAGCAGCTTTCGCATATATTTGTGTCGACATTATTCACTTCTTTTTTTATCTGTAACTTTGTGTTGAGTTTCTTTCTTTCAAAACTGTTACTTCGCCGTTTTGTATATATTTACATTTTTGTCAAAGAGTATAACAACGAGACGGATCGAGTGGTTCATAATCTTTAATCCATTAAAAATATTCAAATCGATCAAACTGTATGTATTGTTATTGATTAAATTAAACCAAGGACCCAACAAAAACACCAGAAGCCCAGCCCAAAGCACAAAAGGAAAACCCAAGACTAAAGCCAAGATTCAAGAACCGATTCATGCAAAACTCAATCTTCCCGGCGAATTCCGTCTCTCCTCCGTTGAGCGATGGTCCGAACTTTATCCACAATTTCTTGTAGACTTGCCTCTCTACCTTCTTCCATGTCCCAGGGTTTTGCATGATACCCTATCTTCATAGCCACTCTAGCCTCACGAAAACCCTTAAGTATTGTTTGATAAAGTAGTTCACCAAAGTTCGATTTCACAATCAAAAGCTCCTGCACATCGTATGGAACCCCCTTTGTAGTAGTAAATAAAGAAGAAATCTGACCATTCCAGAACTTGTGAAGACTCTTGGCTCTCATCTCGTTCGTTTCATCTTGAGGGTCTTGGCAAGCTTCGACAAACTTCTCAAGAGGTAGAAACCCCAGGATGGTTTGTAGCCCAACACAGTGCTCTAACTCAGGATACAGCTGAAGAAAGAAAAGATCGAATCAAATCATCGTATTTAGAATCCAAGAGCAAAGAAACCATACCTTGATTAAGCGGCAAGAAGCTAAAAGCACTTCTTCTTCTGCACTTTCTATCAGTTTTTCAATAGAACCCACTGCACCTCCACTGAGAATTTCCATGAAAGAAAGTGTGATCTGAACTGAAGGTAGTAGTCGTTGTCAGAGTGGACGAGAAATAAAATAGCGTTTTTGACTTTTTTTTTTTTTTGTTAGAGAGAGCGATTTAAGAAAAGATCTCTCTCGCTTGTGTATAAATAGCAGCCAAGAAGTTATGCCAATGTTCCACGTGTGATGATCTGAGCCGTTTCTTGTCACAGATTATTTATTACGCGGGGCCATTGTAAGCATCATGAAAGCCTTAAAAAACATTGAAAGACTCTCTTCCAACATTTTTTAGTACTTGTATATATGCATTCATCATTGCAGTCTTCATAATCCAAATAAAATACTCTTTTCTTATAATAATAATAATTCAGTTACGAGGACAACTTCTAGCTTTTTTTTCTTTCTATTTATCATAAGAGTCTTATGAATATGAAGCCACATCAATATTCAATCCACTCATGTTTAGAGTAGTTCAGATCTTTTGTGTATATGATCCAAACTAAGCGTAATGGTTTAGGCGTGCCTACCACAGACAATTGAATTACAAAAAAAGAAGCTTCTCTTTTTTTTTTCAGCACCATATGGTTTCCACAAATTGTGGAGTCAAGTGTTTGTTGTTCAATTCTCAAAAGCAAAAACAGATGGGAAGTAAAACAAACACATAACTCATCGGTTTAGTTTTGCCAACAATTTAAGCTATCTCTCACTAAATAAACCCTTTACTCTTAATTAAAAAATAACCTTTGTTTCTCTGTCTCTAATTTTACCAGAACGATGCGAATCTAAACACAAAAGATCATCTCTTTACATAAGCTTTTTGACTTGTTCAGAAGATTTGATGTCGTTCCTGTAAAGCTGTTAGGAAAAGCTTAACTCTCTTTCATCTGCAACATCAGTCTTTGTTAATGTTGTTAAGGTACTTGCATGAGGTGTGTGAAGTGTGAACCACCAATCATACACAGAAACTTCAAATCAGCCAATGTCTTTTTAGATGATGACCTGAGTGTTCTTGTCTCAGATTGTGGTTTGGTACCATTATATCATCAGGCTCTGTGAGTCAGGTAAAGTACTAAAACGCAACGAGCCATTGTAGTTTCTTGAAGATCTAAAACCAGTTGTTCTGTTGTATGAATCAGGTTTCAGGACAATTGCTTGCGGCTTAGGCTTACGGATATGGGGCTCCAAAGTTTGACCCAGGAATCTATACATGGCACAATGATGTATACAGTTTTGGTGTTGTTATGTTAGAACTCTCAACTGGTAGAATGTGTCCTACTACAGGTATGTGCATGACGTTGCTTTCTTGCTTAGGATTTTTGGGGGTAAATTCATAAGTAGATTGGTAAATCTCATAAATAGATTTTCTTTTTCTTTTTCTTTTAGGTTTTTTTTTTTATCACAAAATAGCTTTTAAAAACAATTTTTTTGGACCTATTTTCAAATTTGACTGAAAACATAAAATCAACCCCAAAACTAACCTATGTTTTTTTCTGAATTTTTCTTTTGTCCTATTCACCTTACAAGTTCACATATTTACGAAAATGTCATTAATTTTTTTTTTGAAAATTGCTTTTTACTCTCTCAATCTCATCATTTTCAAATATTTACAAGATTGCCATTGCCATCAATACACCAACCACCATGAACAACCAATTTGAAGCCCTTAATGCACCTCAAATTGATTTAGACTTCTTCTTTCTCAATTCTTATGAACTAAAAACATCATCTCTTTCACTTTCTCTCCATATTAATCCAAAAATCCCAGGAGTTTGACTCTAAAATTTTATGGTTCTTAGAGCCATTGACGCTTACGATTCTTGGTGGGTTACTTTTGTTTGAGATTCATGATGCTTGGAAAAGACTTTTGTGTGCTAAACAAGTTATTTCACTGGTTAAAACTATGAAATTGAGATTTTTCCAGATCTGTTCGTCCAGACGACTTCTAGGTAAGTAAAACAAAGAGAACTCATAAGCACTAGTCTTTGTAGCTGTTGAAATATACCTTGAATTTGCGATCTGACAGATCAATCGATTCATGAGTCATGGATCAGTCGATCTGACCTGACACTAATCGGTCGGTTCAGGAGTCATGAATCGATCGATGTGTCAAGAAATATAAAAATTTTCATTAAATGCTTTCTTATATATATATATATATATATATCTTTAGGGTTTTACCTTATTCTGTAAGCACGAATTGTACTCTGAAAAACTAGCCTCCATTAATAAAGTACTTTTTTTGCCCGTGGATCAAACCACGTTGAATCTCTGTGTCTTTCTTCATTATTTATCATATGTTAATCTGTTTCTTCTCACATCCATCCCAACAAACTGGTATCAGAGCTTCAGGTTGAATCTGGTGAGAAGATGTCTGGGATAAACTTGAAGATTGATAAGTTTACTGGAAGGAACAATTTCAGTCTCTGGAAAATCAAGATGAAGGCGTTGCTGAAGCAACAAGGTCTTTGGGCACCGTTGTCAGGGAAGAAGGTTGAACCTGTTACTGCTGGGATGGAGGTTACTGAAGAGAAGGCGTATTCAACAATTTTGTTGTGTCGGGCAGATGAGATCATCATCGAGGTTTCGGGTGTTGATGCTGCATCTGATTTGTGGTTGAAGTTAGAGAGTCTATACATGAAGAAGTCTCTAACTAAGAAGCTACTTCTGAAACAACATATTTTCTCTTTGAGGATGCAGGAAGGTACACAACTTCAGGATCACCTTGATAGTCTAAATTCCAGGATCAACTTCAGCTACTTCTGAAACAACATATTTTCTCTTATGTTGGATCTGAGGAATATTGATGTTAAGGAGGAGGATGAGGATGCTGCGCTGATTTTGTTGGTATCACTGCCTAACTCCTATGAGAATTTTGTTCAGTCATTCATAAGGAGTAAGGATATAGTGAGTTTGGAGGAAGTCAGGACAACACTTCATAGCAGGGAGTTGCGTCACAAGGCATCAGGTTCTGGTACAGATGACCAAGCTTCTGGGTTGTTGGTAGGGGGTGGAAAGATCTTTGGAAAAGGCAAGAGGTGGAAAGACAAAAAAGTCATTTCCAAGGGGTCCTAAACCAAATGATATTTGCAATTACTGCAAATAAAAAGGGAACTGGAATTCAGATTTCCCTAAGAAGAAGAACCAGGCTGGTTCCGCTTTTGTAGCCGAGGATGAAGCTAAATCTGATAATTATATAGCGTTAGTTGCTCATGGAAAACACATTCCAGGGATGTGTGGGTCCTGGACACTGGCGCATTCTATCATATGTGTCTAAGAAGGGAATGGTTCTCAGAGTATGAGGAAGTGACTGATGGCAAGATCAAGATGGCGAACGACTTTGCTTGCGATATTGTAGGAATCGGCTCCATTGAGCTTAGGACACATGAGGGTAGAATCTGTACATTGACTGAAGTTAGACATGTTCCATCTATGTCCAAGAACTTGATCTCAGTTAATCTTTTGGGTAGCAGAGGTTTCAAGTATTCATGTGGAGATGAGGTTCTTAATGTCTATAAAGGTTCAGTTGTGATTTTGAGAGGCTTCATTCATGGTACACTGTACTTGCTGGACGGTTCTACGGTTTCAGGTTCAGCAAATATTGCATTTCCAGAGGTTCGCAAGGAAGATATGGAAAAGTTGTGGGATATGAGGCTTGAACATATGGGTGAGCGTGGGATGCAGATTCTGTCGAAGCAGGATCTTTTTTGTGGTCATAAGACCAAAATTCTTGAGTTTTGTGAGTATTGTGTGTTTGGGAAACTACATAGAAAGAAGTTCCCAAAGGTTGTTCATAAGACAAAAGGCATCCTGGATTACATCCATTCAGATTGTTGGGGTCCCTCCAAGGTGGAGTCGCCGAAGGGTCACATGTATTTTGTGTCCATGATTGATGATTATTCGAGGAAAAATTGGATAACATTCATGAAGCACAAAAGTGAAGCTTTCAACAGTTTTAAGGAGTAGAAGATACTGGTGGAGAATCAAACTGAGAAGAAGGTTAAGAGCTTCATACTGATAATGGTTTGAAATTATGTTCATCAGAGTTCAACCAATTTTGTATGGATGCATGGATTGCTAGGAATCATACAATAAGGTATACACCACAACAGAATGGTGTAGCAGAGAGAATGAACCAGACATTGCTGGAGAGAGCGAGGTGCATGTTGTCTAATGCTGGTTTAGAGAAGAGGTTTTGGGCTGAGGCAGTGAACACGACTTGTTATTTGATCAATTTGGGACCACATACATGGATCGAGTGTAGAATACCTAATGAGGTGTGGTCAGGCAAGTTTGCTGATTACTCCATTTTAACAGTCTTTGGCTGTACAGTTTACTATCATGTTGATGAAGGAAAGCTGGAACCAAGAGCGAAGAAAGGAGTGTTTATGGGCTATGGAGATGGTGTCAAGGGATACAGAGTATGGTCTCCATCTGAAAAACGAGTTGTAATGAGCAGAAACGTTGTGTTTGATGAGAGTTCTATGCTCAAAAGTTCAGCTGAGTCTATTTCAGAAGCAGAGCAGGAGGATTTTGACAAGCAGGTGGAGCTGCAGGAAGTGCAGTCGGATGAACCATGTCGATCGATGATGGATCAACCATGTCGATCAATGATGGATCAACAGTGTCGATCGACGTCGGATGTTAAGTGTCGATCGATGACGGATGGTCAGTAACGATCGACATCGGAAGAAAAAATCGAGCGATCGTTGACTAACGAGCAGCCATAATCGTCTAATTCTGAAAGTCAATGTATTGGGTCTGAAAAACGCAGTATTGCTAAAGATACACCAAGGAGGGTTGATGTTAGGCCACCAGCGAAATATCGGTTTGAAGATATGGTGGGATATGCACTACATGTTGCAGAGGAAGTTGACACTTACGAGCCGTCTACTTACAGAGAAGCTCGTAAGATGAGATAGATACTCATGAGAAGAATCACACATGGGATTTGGTCACACCACCAGCTGGGAGAAACGTTGTGACTTGCAAATGGATTTACAAGATAAAAGTTGGTC